CAATTCCCCTATAGCACATGTGTTTGGACTGTGGGGGAAACCGGAGGAAATCCACACCAACATGGGGAGAACATGCAAACTCCACACAGAAACACCAAATGACCCAGCCGGGACTCAAACCAGCAACCTTCTTGCTGTGAGGCCACAGTGCTCACCACTGAGCCACCTGTTTTAAAGCATTTAAAAGTGATTTCAAAATGTTATTTAAATACAGGTTAAAGCTAAAAGTGTCCTTATGCTCTCTAAACTTTTGTCAACTTGACCCTCTGAATGTGTTTTCAGTTGTATTAGTATCATGTAGGGTATTTTTTTATATTATTTTGCACTATTTTGTTTATTATATGCTGCTTGGATATAACCTTGTATATGTTTAACAATGAAGGTTGAAAATGTCTGTTTTTTATTTGAAGGTTAAATAGAGAGAGAAATGCAGCCTGATTCCGCGGGGATTTGGCAACCCTGCCGTTCAGACGAATAAAGGCCTGAAGTTGGAGAGAGTCTGACATCTGCTGGACAAACAATAATACTACAGCAAGTGTGCACACTGAGCTCTTTATATATATTCATTCATTCATGTTCTTTTCGGTTCAGTACCTTTATTAATCTGGGGTTGCCACAGCGGAATGAACCGCCAACTTATACAGCATGTGTTAATGCAGCGGATGCACTTCCAGCTGCAACCCATCACTGGGAAACACACACACACACACACACACACACACACACTACAACCAGTTGAGTTCATCAATTCCCCTATAGATTCTTGCTGTGAGGCCACAGTGCTAACCACTGCTCAGTGGTTAAAAATACCCTGACATATAACCCAATAGCACCTTCCTAACTATGGGTTATTTTCACTGAGTACATTGGGTTATAAAATTCAACCTAATGCATTGGGTTATTTTGATTAAATGTTATTTTTCCATTCTGGTTTTACTGCTACTATTACTAGTACTATTAATTTTAAAATGGCTGTGTAAATAAATAACATGCAGTTTACAAAAACATTGAACATGCTTCATTTCCTTTACATTTGAAGTTCCAGACACTTAAGCTTTTTTATCCATTTAATATATATCGGCTATATGAATTTGTCGAGTTTGTATCATCAACAATTGAGAGTGCTTGTGAAACGGATTTAAAACATTCAAATATTTATTTAGAAATATTTATTTATTTTTATTAAGGATTATCAAATAGTAAAAAAACAAAGACAATCAGACAAACAGACATACAAACCCAAGCATTGCAAATTAAATAAGTTTAAAATAGAAAAATAAATAAATAAATAAATAAATAAATAAATAAATAAATAAATAAATAAATAAATAATTAAATAAACAAATAAATAAACAAACAAACAAACAAACAAACATACAAACAAACAAATAATTAAATAAATAAATAAATAAATAAATAAATACATACATACATAAAATAATCAAAACAAAACAGAAGGAACTTTTAAAATAAATATTGCAGAATTTATGTAGAAAGGACTGGAGAGGTTCCCAAAGTCTTCTGAATTTATCCTGTTTGTGGTTGAGGCCATCAGCTAATTTTTCCAGAGGAAGAAAGACTACATGGAAATAGTTTGAGAAGTAGAGTATGTTTGTAATATACATTTCTTAGCCAGAAAAAAACAGAGATCAAAGAGGTCTTCAGGAATGTCATTCGGCCAAATAAATGAGGGGGAGAAAATAAAACTTTTTCCAATTATCTCCTGGATTGCAGAATAAACCCCTCTCCAAAATGGTTGGATGCTAACACAAGAGCAGAATAAATGAAGAAATGTGCCCTTACATGTTTACTGAGAGGTCATTTGATAAAAAAACCAACAACAATATTTTTGCGTTAGAGCTTAAATAAACTTTATAACGCAAAAACAACATTACGTACGCATAACAAAACAGCTGTTCTGTGTCAGTTAAATCAGCTGACTGTTGAAATAAAAATTTTTAACCCAACTGGTGGAGTTATTAAATAAACAACCCAATAAATGTTAAAAATACCCAAACAAAGCAACAAATATTCAATCTAACTGGTTGAGTTATTATTAAATAATCTAATAAAGACTAAAAAAAATAATAAAATAATGCTGGTTAATGCCTCGTCTAGGTCAGTTGGTGTTTCTGTGTGGAGTTTGCATGTTCTCCTCGTGTTGGTGTGGGTTTCCTCCGGGTGCCCCCTCCACAGTCCAAACACATGCTATAGGGGAATTGAATACGCTAAATTGACTGTAATGTGTGTGTGTGTGTGTGTGTGTGTGTGTGTGTGTCTCTGTGTGTGTGTGTGTGTGTGTGTGTGAGAATGAGTGTGTATGGGTGTTTCTCGGTGCTGGGTTGCAGCTGGAAGGGCATCCTCTGTGTAAAACATATGCTGGAATAGTTGGCGGTTCATTCCGCTGTGGCGACCTCTGATAAATAAGGGACTAAGCTGAAGGAAAATGAATGATTAAATAATCTAGCACATGTAGTATTGTCAGCTGACAGCGAGTCTTCTTCTTCTCTTGTTATTGTGTGTATCTGCAGCGCCGTGTTCCCATCAATCCCTCAGTGTGTTTTCTCAGCTGCAGTCCGTCAGTCTGTCCACTCACATCACATGCAGGAGTGTTTGTTTTCCCTAAAAACCAGGAATAAAAGCTTCCGCTGAGAGAGGTGTGTGTGTGTGTGTGTGTGTGTGTGTGTGTGTGTGTGTGTGTGTGTGTGTGTGTGTGTGTGTGTGTGTGTGTGTGTGTGTGGCGTATTTGACCTTTGACCCTCAAACAATAAGCACAGATTCTGTCTGGCGGCATCGGTATTAATAACACACTTGCTAGCTAATAAAGTCAAGAACACACAAACACACACACGCGTGTTGTGCTCATGTGTGTGTGGGTTCAGATCAGATCAAGTGAGTCTCATCCGTCACTATCAGCGCTCTGACCTCAAAAACAATACAGGCCACACAGACAGGAAATCAACAGCAGGAGCTCAGAGACACTTCCTGTTTCTCCACAGGGGGGAACGTGGACCTGCATCAGCTGTGTGTGCGTGTGTGTGCGTGTGTGTGTTTAATAATGCTGACAGGACAAACAGACTGGGAGAAAAGTAAGTCTTTTGGTTTTCAGATGTATTATTCAATAGTGTAAGTGGGTTTAAAGCGCACCTATTATGCATAAGTCACTTCTATAAGGGGTTTAAACCCAGTTGTGTGTGAGTAGTGTGTGAATATCTCCAGCCTCTAATGGTAAACATGAATTAACTGTACTGTTTATAATCAGATTTGATAGAAACAGTCTGCAGAAACACTTTGATTGACATTCTCCCTTTGTATGATGTCATCAGAGGGGGGAAAGCCCCGCCCACTAGTGCCCATCTCTCCCTCATTAGCATAGGATGTCAGTCTTGTTTTTGAATTTGTCGCTACGCTGGCACACAGGCATCTGTAGCTCCGCCCTCTTTTGAAAAGAGCAAAATCTCATTTGAATTTAAAGCGACAGTCACCAAAATGCCACACTATTAAGATTAAAGACTAAAAGGGTCAGTTTCAGAGAGTTATAAACATTATCTGTGGAGTATTTTCAGTTGAAACTTCACACACTCACTCATTAGAGACTTATTTTACATCTTGTTGAATCAGGCATAGCAGCTCCCCTTTAAATAGATGATTTGTCAAGCCGTACATTCATAATAATAATCATTCAGCAAGTGTAAGTTATGAGAGAGATGACAGCTGGTAAATGAGTGACGGTTGTGTCGCGGTGTCACATGACCTGTGATGTCAGCAGGGGGCATGGACAAAGTGCGAGGGTAACCTACAATGTAAGATCATCTGGGAAAACATCATGCAGGCAGATTAATCGAAGACTGCAGTATTGGGTCAATTGTTTATATTACTATAGTTGTTGTGTTACCATAATCACCACAACAGATTAATTACTTTACTATAGTAAGTGTTTAACTTATACTGTTTCGTCTTTAGTTAAGCAGTTTGTAGATATTGTTTTAATTATATAAAGTTATTTATGTCTACATCTAGTTGCCACTATATTCTCATTTGACCTATTTTGACAGCTATGTCATGATAAACTGTGTAAATAAATCATTGAAGGTTTTAAGAAAATGCACAATATTTAAGTGAAGTCAACTTTTACTATTGACCGACTTTTGTAAAAAAACAAAACATTTTACAAATAGCCTGACTTTTGTTTAAAATCTTAACCTTATTCTTGAGAGATAGAAATAACTAATATAAGGTCTGAAGCACCTAAAGTAGCCTATTAAAGTTAAGTTTAACACTAATTAGGCTGTGTAAATAACCAAAATCAAACAAAAAATTTTCAGGGGTAGCTTAAATAATGTGTTAGTGCTCTTTGTGTAAGGGATTCATCAGAATAAACATCAAAATCAGTCCAAGGCACTTAAAAATGTGGAAAAAATAGTAACAGGCCTTTATTGACATGGCTGTTCCTTAAAACTGTGACTACATCAGGTTACCCTGACAAAGTGTTATCAAAACGGTGCAGTTTTAGGAAATAGTCATGTCAGTAAAGGCTTTATTATTTTCCCCACATTTTTCGAGTGCCTTTAGACTGACTTTTGCTGTTTATACTAATAGGTTGTTGTTAGATGAACAAGCTAATCCAACTAAAATAGTGATTAAAATGCCTCTTATTGGAGTATTTAAATAGAAAATGAGGTGAATGACTGCAAAAAAAGTCCACATTTTGAGAAAAAAAGAACCACCCCTTTCACCAGGCTGGCTCCGGGCCTGCTGTAAGCCTTTTTGTCTGAGCATTGAGTTACTGTAAACAAGACTTAGCATTTTGTATATTTTAGCTCAAACCAGCAAATCGGACGGGTTTATTTGATTTATTTTTAAAGATTTGTATGCTTCAACCACGCTGTTGTCATAATGTTTTGTTTGCCCGTGATTATTTCAACGTTTTGTTGTGTTTAATCAACATGTTTGTGTACTCTTCAAGCGAGTCTTCCCCGGTTTGTGCTTTTTGTCGTTTCTCGATTGCCGTCCGCACATGCGCAGTGACCGTGGTTGGCTTCAGTGTAGCATGTTGTATAGTTTATTCTCTGCCCGTTGAGTTAAACACTCTAACATCTAATAGTTTAACATAACAGTAATTATTCCAAAAGTTATAAAGCGTATTTATATATCGAGGTTTACGTTGAAAGAAGAAGCAGGAACGACAACGCGGAATGAATCAGTTTGAACAGTAAGTTAGCAGCTAACGGCTAATATTCTCCATTAAACATTTAACTTCAGCTATTACGAACATAAAGCAGATACATTCGAAAAGAATCACGGGTTTATTAACATTATAAAAAGATTAACGTGTGGTGTGAATGTCTTTAGTTTATTAACGATACATTTATTTAATGTGTTACAGTAATATTAATGTGTGGAATTGTTTATATGTGTACGTGGAACACACGTTTATATACAGTATTTGCTTTGATTTAGTGCACTGTTTAACAGTAGATTTAGATTAATCTTCATTTTAAACACAAGTAAAATAAACAAATATGTACCTTTATTTATCTATTATGTACATTATTTTATTTATTATGTGTATGTTTATATACACAACACACAATTGAGGTAGAGTTGGTTTTATTTCTGACATTTATTCAGTGTCAATTTGTTACATGCACCCTATATTTCCATATATATTTTTAACATAATTCCTGTTTACCATGGTAATTTGAATATTCTGCCTAAAATTATGAATTTAAAACAACATTAGCACTATTTATTGACTGTAAACAATGCTGTACCTTGATAGCCATTGGCTGCTAATATGATATTACCATTTATAATTAGCTTTTCCAAAATGATATATAACGTTATATATATAGAGAGAGAGAGAGAAATTCTGAATTAGACACTAATAAACCAACTTTACCGCAATACACGCATACATAAGTGATTGACTGGTGTCAGTTTATATTCTTTTCCTTATAGACCATTTCAATGAGGTGATGTCATTGGTTCATGAACATTTCCTGCTTGTTATCAAACTCATAACTGCAACGAGAGGCAATTCAATCATAACTTATTGTAAAAACAGCTATCCTAACAATATTTATCAATATATGTGGACCTTTTTGGATCCTCGGAAGCTAGAGAAATTTGGTTGGGACCATTGTTATTGTTTACATCCATCAAAATGGTCTATAAACATTACTGTTTATTTTTAGGAAACTGTAATAAAGCCTGTTATAGTTGATGAACATTATTAAAGGTTGTCCAGTAATGTATGTCTGTAGTTTAAAGGAGGAAGACTGTGGCGACCATGAGGAGATGAAGGACAATAATGAGAGCGATAGAGCTTCAATAAACAACAACAATAACAACATCAGACGCAAGGTGAGTGTCAACATTAAACACACGTGCACACACACACACACAAAATAAGTGAGACATACAGACATAATGGCACAGAAGTATGTATTTGGGTTTGTTTGTATTGTTTAAGTTTGTTTTAGTGTTGTTTTATTCCGTTTTTGTCTTTGTTTGGCTGTGTTTGTATGTTTATGTGGATGTTTGTGTGTGTCTTGTTTGCATTGTTTTGTGTATGTGTGCTTTGCGTGTGATTTACTGTGTTTACACTCTGAGTTGGTTGAACCTCCCTACTAAAACAGGCCCAGTGTGTCTGTTTGGTGGTTTGTTTATGTGTGTGTTTTTCTTTGTTTTTGTGAATTTGTGTTTGTTTGTTTTGTGTATGTGTGTTTGTTTTGTGTGTGCGTTTTGCATTATGGTTTGTCTGTGATTCTGTGTGTGTCTGTAATGGTTTGTTTATATGTATTTATTATACATATACGTGTTTATTTGTTTTTGTGAATGTGTGTTTTGTTTTGTGTATGTGTGTTTGTTTTTGTGTGTGTGTGTTTTGTCTGTCTTTGTTTGTTTGTTTGGTGCAGTTGTTTTTGCGTGTGTGTGTTTTTGTGTGTGTGTGTGTGTGTGTGATTCTGTGTTCTTTTGTGTTGGTCTGTTTATTTGTGTGTGTGTGTGTGCATGCATGCTAGTTGCATGTGTGTGTTCATTCCACTGTTTGGACACCTGATAAATCACGGACTAAGCCAAAGGAAAGTGAATGCGTGTGTGTTTGCTTGGGTGTGTGTTTGTTTGTGTGTGTTTGTTTGGTTGTGCATGTGTGTTTTGTTTGTTTTTGTTTTTCATATTCTATATTATAGAATCATTATAATTACTAATACACAGTTATTTTCAAAGAAGACACTCTGTATAATGCATAAAGTGATGTAAATGATGTATTCAAAATTCTACCGTGTCATATTGTGTGTGTGTGTGTGTGGTTGTGTGTGTTCAGATGGTGACTCCGGCTGCAGGTGAACACCCGCTGCAGTATAACTACACGTTCTGGTACTCGCGCCGGACGCCCAGCAGACCTGCTAACACACAGAGCTACGAGCAGAACATCCGGCAGATGGGAACCGTGGCCTCGGTCTGACATCTCCAGAACCAGTACATGTTATAATGCTGTGTGCGTAAATGTGTGTGTGTGCACGCTGACGATGTGTGTTCTCGGTTCAGGTGGAGCAGTTTTGGAAGTTCTACAGTCATCTCGTCCGACCTGGAGATCTGACAGGACACAGCGACTTCCACCTGTTCAAAGAGGGAATCAAACCCATGTGGGAGGTGTGTGTCTTTGTGTGTGTGTGTTAGGGGTGTAACATTCCTAATACATCTTACTCTGGGCTGATTTTAAGTCTTAATTTGGCCACAACTTTCTCTGAAAATGTGAAAAAACTCAATAATACATTCAAATTGACTCTCCTTTTGTTTTGTTGGTGCTGTTTTTGCCCCATTGACTTCCATTATAATCACGTTTATTGATTGCAAAGCCATGACAGCATGTAACCATGCATTCCTGATTGAGTTTTCCCTGTTGGGAAGAGGGACAAGTTTTAGTATTTATTGTTGATCATCAGTTGCAGTGCAAAGAAAATGTAGTTATTGGCATTTGAATGAAGCTATATGGAGTTATGTACAGTGCATCCCACACATAGACTTTACTTGCATGGGCTGCCCAGGTATATTAACAGCCGTTCAATTATATTTAGTGACACATTTTTACAAGCGTTTCGAAAACGCTGGAGAGGCCGTTTTCATTCTAAAACGCTGCTGCTCCGTCTCAGTGTGGATGATGGAAATCGGAGACATCTGAAAACGGAGGCGGGGCTGCAGACATTCGCCTCTCTGATTGGGGCTTTTCCTCAATATTAAGTAGCCTTACAAACAGTTCAGTCCTGCATCTTCTCCGTGTAAATTCAGACTTCGCAAGTTTGATCAAGGCTGCAGTCTCTTCTTCTCAGTTTGATATGGAAAACAGACAGAGGACACGGGTAAATCTTCAAAGGGAACAGTGTACTTTATAACTTCATTCACATCACCCTGGCTACGTTGTTTCACTTTCTCAACAATAAAAATGTAAACATGATATTAGGAACTGCCTATTTTCATTTTAATATTAGCAACTTAACAGACAGCAGACATGTTGAGGCGTCGTGCTGCATATATGAGCGTCATCTTCACTGTGTGGATATTTATAACAAAACGGAGCCGATGACAACTGCCTCCTTTCAATTTCAGTGAAAATACGAAACGCACCCTCTCTTTTGCTGAATATCAGTTTTAATAATCGATAATGGCCATAATAAAAGTATAACATACAATAAGTTTGTACATTATAGGAAATAAAGGCAAGCGATCAGTCAATATACAGAATAGGCTACGTGGTTACATTAATCATTAACTTATCTTTGCGCTCAGTCAAAACACGTTACCTGAGAACAAGTAATAGATTCCAATGACCAAAGTCAGGGAATATGTCGTTAGATAAAGACAACAAGATGAGTGAAATATCCCGTTTAATAAATATAGTGAGATTAGATCCAGCAGGAGATGCTTGATGAGAAGTCCGACTAGCAGAGCTCTCATCTGGGTAGATGAGCTGCAGCACTTGCCAAAGAGTGTGTGTGTGTGGTCACGTGATGTGCGTTTTCAGCGTTTTGGTGTGGACGGAGAGCAGTTTAGAAACGCTGGGTAAAACGCGAGTGTGCACGCGGATCGTTTTTTATTCTAAAACGCCGTTTTAAAACTAAAACGCACTAGGGTAAACGGGGCCTCTCAGAACACAGTAAACACAGTTAGTGTATTTCTGCACACACACTGCAATCTGCTGTTTTACTCCACTGAACTCCAAATAAAAGATCTAAAGGGTTAATGCTGACAACTGATGATCAACAGTTCAAATGAGTTCATCTTGCAACTCTCCCCAACAGGGAAAACCAGCAACATATAAAAAAAGAATCTGCTGTCAAAGCTTTACAGTCAATAAATGTGATTATAATGGAAGTCAATGGAGCAAAAACAGCCCCAACAAAACCAAAGGGACAACATCTCCAGTGAGAGAGAGAAAGCTTCGCATCATCTAATTTTGACTGTGTGTGTGTGTGTGTGTGTGTGTGTGTGTGTGTGTGTGTGTGTATGTCAGGACGAGGCCAATAAGAATGGAGGGAAGTGGATCATCCGTCTGAGAAAGGGTCTGGCGTCTCGTTTCTGGGAGAACATCATCCTGGCCATGCTGGGCGAGCAGTTCATGGTGGGCGAGGAGATCTGCGGGGTGGTCGTGTCCATCCGCTTCCAGGTACTGCTGCATTCTGGCACTGACTTCACTGCAGAGACAAATGTTTATGTCATGTTGCGTCACGTCTGTTAGAGCCTTTTTATAAGCATTATTTTTATTAGCTATTCAGTTAGACTTCATATATACAATTCCTTTCTTTAAATGTTCCTTTTTGTTGTCGTTTTATTCAGTGTATGCAAATGCAGGCCTAGGCAAGTTTCCCGACTGTTAAGGCTGATTTAGGCTGCTTTCACACCTGTGAATGGATTCAGTTGTTCTGAAACAGAGATTACAATTGTTACATTGTTGCTCTTTGCTCTTGGAGCGGTTCACTTTCACACTGCAAAGTTTCTAATCGGACCAAAAGAGCTAAAACAAGACACGTGTGAGTAAACTCTCCTCACATTGGTCAGAGTGTCAGGGTTTATTTTGCAGCGTCCCGCTCAGCTGTCAGGAGAGGTGGTGGCTTGGTGGTGATTGACAGGGTGTGCGCGCGATGTGTCTGAGGAGAGATGCGGTGAGGAGGGGTGAGAAGGGTGCGCGACGATGCCTATTTGAGGACCGGGAGGGAGACGCGAGATTACCGGGAGATCATCACTCGTTTGCGGGCATCCGGAGACTCGCGAAACTTCCCGCCAATAATCATAATTCTCTCTTCATATAGCCGTAAGCCTATTACATATCCATACAACACTGTGATATAACCGCGCTCGGATCGGATCGCTTTCTCACTGCAATCAAACCGCTCCAGGGTTCGTTTCAATCGAGCCGAGACCACCTCATTCAAGCGATCTCGGAGCGATTACTTTGGCGCGGAACAAAGCGCGATTGCCCTGTTCACATATGCCAAACGAACCGCGTAAACGAGATGCATTCCCAAACAAAGTGTAGTTGTGAAAGCAACCTTATACTTCGGCGTCAAGCGCACGCGTATACTCTGGCTCAGCCTTCGCACGGTCACTGACACTGACGCACATCTCTCAAAAAATTTAACTACACGTCACAACGACACCTAGCACAAGCTCTGTGATTGGTCAGCTTGGTGACGGGTGTAGGCGGTGCTGAGAGCTGCGAACCCGATGCAGCGAGTGTCGAGTCCAGTGAAGGTGCTCCAGATGGAAACCTTTGTTTTTGTGTTTACCTTATGATTAAAGTTGTGGCACGTCTGCCGGTTTCCGCCTCTAAATGAGCGACTTTGAGTTACTTGGCACTCCATTAACCAAGCTTGAAATATGATCATTATAGGAAGCAGGTCATTATATTCGTCTCTTGTTTTTATTTGTTCTTTAAAGCAGGAGCAATCTTTATATCTTTATATACTGATACAATATGGAACGACTGTCAAAAACTGTATCACTCCGTCGCTGAAGGTCATCAGTTCACCACTGTTTACTGAGTAAGGGTGTCACGATCCTCCAAATCCTCGATTCGATTACATTTTCGATTCTAAAGTCACGGTTGGATTCGATTTTCGATTTAAAAAAGAAAAATTAAAGAAAATCATAAACAAATCATACAGTAAATGAATAAAGGAAGATACACACATAATTACCACCTGTCAATCACTTTTTCAGCGGGACTCGTGAATAGGCAGTGATGTGTCGTTATAATGGCGTCGGTAAAAAAGACGCACAACCAACAGGAACCAGCCAACAGTATCTGAGGTGTTCGCTAAAATGACCAAGTACAAGTGTGAAAGTGAAAAATTGAGGCAGTCTGCTGACCCACTGACTGCCTGGACCCGCTGTCTCGAGTGCATAACAGTGTGTGTGCGTCTTTATCTGAGCGTGTGTGTGTGTGGTCACGTGATGTGCGTTTTCAGTGGTAGTGAGGAAGGAGGGCTGCTCAGTAATGCAAAACGCCAGTGTGGATGTGGATCATTGTCGTTAGAAAATGCCATTTAAAAACTAAGACCTATTAATGTAAACAGGGCCTGAGTGTGTACTTTTCACCAGCGGATTTGCAACAGGGGCGGGGCGGAGGATCGTGATGCCGGTGTTGTCTATCGGCACAACCCTAATACATAGCAGAGCTTGCAAACTGTGTTTTTTTTTTCCGACAACACGAACGTTGTCAACATAACTCACTGAATATCCAAAACACTTTCACCCAGGCGACTTCATTGAAAGGGGAGAGGGTTTTTTCAACAACAAGATCTTCAACAAGCGTGTTTTTTTCCGCTTGGCAACCCAAGCTGACATGACATGGGGGCGTGGCAGCATCGACGATTCCATTTTTGATTCGATAATTCGATAATCAAATAAATTGAGCATGAATTTCGATCGATTTCGATTTAAAATCGAAATCGTGACACCCTTTTTACTGAGTATAAACACAGATACAGGGACGCAGGAGTGGTTTAAAGCTGTGATTCATCAGCGGATCACTCATATGTCAGCTTATAGACAAACCAGCTGGGGTCTGTTCTTCGTACCTCGCTTAAATGATCTAAGATTATTTGGCAGATCCTGGATCTTTTCATCTTGATAACTGATCTCTCGCTAATTTGGTTCTTCAAACGAGTTCGCGAATCAGATTAGAATGTCTGGATGAACTGATCTGAGATCGCTGCGTGTGTTGTGAAGGGCAGATCTATCGATCCTCGAAATCATGATCAGCAATGCAACGATTGGCTGACGTCACAGCAGCGTAATGACATTATCTGATTAATATTCAATTATCCATGTAAGCAAAATTACATTGAATTAGCAGTAAACGGCTTGTTAAATATGACACGCAATAACCTTCCACATTTGTTGTGAGCTGCAGGCTTTACACTTTCATGTGTCAAGAGTATTCATCATGTATTTCACTGCATATCAGTGTATTTAGTTCCACATTTAGAAAAGATTTTCTTTATTATAGTAACCGTTTTTTTAATCGATGTAAAGAATAACTGGTTGTTTACAAAAGCATTTTGATATTGGTAAAGGCGTCTGCAACTTTTGTGAAGCATCAAATCACCGGCATATTAACTATCAAAACATGTTTATAACTGCTAAGATGTATTATTACTTTTAAAAAAGTCACATATTCTGCATTTCTATTATACACAATTTGTACTAAAGCGATCTAAAAAGTTCATATCAATAAGTTTTCTCTTTGCACCACCAGGTGGCAGTCCTACTTTCATTTCGAGGGTGCAGATTGCATAAGTTTTATTAATACGTATAACTGTATTTATTTTATTAATGACTATAACTTTTCCCAAGTGTATATAACTACTACTGCAAGAAAATATCAGAATTCGGAACATACTTTCTGTATTATCTTTGCTTGAACTGAGCCGATCTAATCCTGTTTATATGAATTGAACCTGCTCCCGATCAGGTTTGACCTAGCAGAACTGTTGCTATGACAACAACTCTCGGATCAGCTTTGAAGATCGAAACGATCCTGGATCATGTCAAATCGTCAATATCCAAATCCAGCTAACTGAGTAATCCACGTACGAAGAACGGACCCCTGATCTTTGTGGCTTTAAAATGCAACTAATGACCTTCACGGCCAATCACAGTCATTTCTCTTGAGCACATGAACACATTGGCAAATCAGCGCTGATTAGGAACGCACTCAACAGTGCTCAAATGTTATCGGGAAATGGAGGAATATAAAATTTCACTATCTTGACAACATCTACCACTGACTGACGTGTACTGTTGTCTTCACATGTCTCTCTGCAGGAGGATATTCTGTCCATCTGGAATAAAACAGCCAATGATCAGGTGACCACATCACGGATACGGGACACCCTGCGGCGCGTGCTCAACCTGCCGCCAAACACCATCATGGAGTACAAGACACACAACGACAGTCTGAAGTACGTCTCACACACACACACACACACACACACACACACACACCTGTCCACATCTGACTCTCAGTAAAAGATAATGAGCAATATCATGCAGATGTCATCTATGCCATGATTTTTTTACTTAAATGATGTTTCATAAAGTTCTGCACTCAATAATGGATTAAATAAATGCAGAAACTTTGTTTTTTCTTTTGTCCTGTGATTTATTTAATCAATTATTGTGTGCAGACTAGAGATGCCACGGTTCTCAATATAATATTGAACCGTACGGTACGACCTCCACTGTTCAGTACGCGCTTGTGAATTGCGGTTTTCTCGGTTTTGCGTTTAAAGGGCCATGAAAGCCCCTCGTTTCAGCAGGGTGTTTTCACACCTCTACTTTGGAAAAAGTCAGAAAAGTGGGCGTGTCCAGCTCTGTTTAGGGGGGAGTGTCGGAGGAACTAAAGTGGGAGGGTGTGGGAGTGTCTATTTGGGCACGCGCGAGTTTCAGTCAAAATACTCACACACAGGAGAAAGTGATGGTGTTTAACCTACATGGACATCTGTAGTCGAATTATTTGCCAAATGATTAAATGTTGGACTTTAACTGCAGTTTGGCTCTTTCATTCAGGGAATTCATTCATGTCCCTCGCGACAAACGAGATATTTGATTCGAGGAGCTGCTCTAAGCGTGTATTTTAATGCAATGTTTGATACCGCACGGCGAATGAGAGAAAAAAAACCTCAGCATTTCCCGGAAACTTAGATGCACACGGCAGGTAGCGTCAGAAAGCCGCGTGTGTTTTTCCGGTCACTAAATGCGGTGAAAACCCTACATGAGGTTAAAGTTTGGTTGTGGTGCTAACATGTTTACACTCGGTGCAATAGTTAACTTAGTTCGATACGAACAAACTGAATAAACAAAGAGCACTGGTCGCTCATTTACCAAATCTGTAGAGACAGAACAATCACCAGCAACTAGAGCCGCGTCTTTATTAAGAGGAGACTACAAGCGAATCCGGATCTCAGCGTTTGCAGATGAGAACAGCTCTCAGGTAAACAATAATCCTCCTTAGACACGTAAGTTATTGTTGTGGAGCGTCGCGTACACTGTTAATCCACACGTGACTCCAGCTGCGCTCTCACAGAGAGAAAATGAAAACAAAACTTCACTGCAGCAAACTATAAAAGCAACACTTCACGCTTGTTCTGCCAACACAACGTGGCGTCTCTGTCGTCTAAACACTGTGACAGTAATGAATATTAATGAAGTTGCACAATAGAGCGCGCTGATTGGTTTGAACCAAGCCTTACTCATGCATTAATGCAGCACACTGTAAGACGTAATAAGACACACTCTGGCTCAGACGTCCAGTCTGCACGCTGGAATACACGCTATTATGTCATGACCGTGACGCAGCTTCAAAAACTAGTTTCAAACAGGAAGTACGAATTTGCTTGAAATAACGCAAAAACAACCATTTTACACTTTTTAGTGAAATATAGGTGTCCTAATAGTGTTTTTAGCAGTGTGGGACACATATACCACTGTCAACAGCTCAAAACATGTGTTCTGGTGTTTCGTGACCCTTTAAATAATTGATGTGTGTTTTATATCTCCCTGAATTTACTGTGTGTGCCTCTAAATCCATGAGCTAAGATGAGGAAACTCCTCCCCATGAGTAAATATCCAATCACTATGCTCTAAAGTTAGGGGGCGCTTGACCATCATTCCACACTTTAACATGGCGAGCGGCGGTGAAGTGAGGCAACAGTACGAGAAAGCGCCGGCGTCTTTCAAATCTGCGGTGTGAGAACATTTCAGTATCGCCGGTAAGCATAATGCTAATAAAAGAAAAAACTGAGAACAAAAATTAACTGTGTGCGAGGATTGATTTACACGTATAACCATGACTGCACATCTGCAGCGCATCACCCAGCAATATCACTGTCTGAAGCAGGACAGCAGAGAAAGTAATAAAGTCCTCCAAACAGCAACAATCCCTCACTGAACCTTTCCAGCAAACAAACCCAACTGGCTCTGAGAGGAACATAAAATAGCAAAGGCAGTGCGGGTGATTATTGCTGAAGATTTGCAGCTGTTTTGGGTGATTGGAGATGTGGGCTTCTGTCATCTTATAAAAGCACTCGGTCCGCGTCACAGACTACAGTCTGGCATTGTTTCAGCACCGAGATGATGAAGATGGTTTATTTATGTTCACTGAAGTACAAATATGTTGATCTGAAATGGCCAGTTTACCTTTATTAACTCCACATGTGTGTTTATTTTCAAAGTGCAGAATTTTATGTGTTGCCCAGTTTGTACATGGGCGACCAGCAGCTGTGAGATTTCACTGTTCATTTTTTATACAATACACTAGCAACTACTGTACTTTTCTTGGCTTTTAATTAAAACAAAATGAGTATTGCAATAAATAATTTTTATTCTTACTGTTCCAATTGCACACTTGTCAAGCCATGAGAACCGAACCGAACCGATCCGAAAACCGTGTTCAAAACCGGAGTATGTATTGAACCGTGGGCGAACTGTATTGTTGCATCCCCAGTGCAGATCTTCTTTGAAACTTGTCATTTAAAGAAATTTAATCACAGCTTCAAACTTATCCGGTAGGGCACTGAGATTTACATTTAATGTCCTTAAAATAACAAAACTTTTTGCTAACACTTCAGTAACAATTCGCACCATTCTCTACTGGCCTATTAGCTGCCTGTTGTTAGTGTATGAACTATTTATTAGCACTTAAGTATGATCATATTCCACATCACTAATCTAATTCAGTACTTAATCCCAACTACACCTTTAATTTCTATAGGTGTGAACTTACACTGGTCTCACGGTTCGATTTGGTTACGGTCAGGGCTTTACATTAACACCTGCCAAATGCGGGTAGATTTCGCTTGTGACCAAAAGTTTGTTTATCTGACACTACTGTAAAATGTCTCTGTCGACGTTTTGAAACCATTTTATTTAACAACAAAATCACTCAAGTGCCACTTTTACATCTGTCACATCCAGAGCGGAGCTTCTTCCTCATAAATGCAAACAATTAAAAAAATATATATAAATTTTACATTATGAAAAATAAAACTTTCTCTGTGTGATTTTAAAAGCTTTTTGAGATGAACAGTGTGCTCATACATCAGATTGTCTGCTTGTAATACATGTGTCGTTCCCATGATATTATACACATTTGTGTTCTAATATATCACACACACATATCATACACATGTAGTTGAAGTCAGAATTATTCACCCCCCCTTAATTTTTTTTTTTCTTTGTTAAATATTTCCCAAATGATGTTGAACAGATTCAGGAAATGTTCACAGTATGTCTGATTATAATTGTTCTTCTAGAGAAAGCTTTATTGGTTTTATTTCGGCTAGAATAAAAGCAGTTTTTAATTTTTAAACACCATTTTAAGGTCAATATTATTAGCCTCTTTAAGCTATATTTTTTCGACTCTCTACAGAACAAACCATCGGTATAAAATAACTTGCCTAATTATCCTAACCTGCCTAGTTAACCTAATTACCCTATTTAAGCCTTTAAATGTCACTTTAAGCTGTATAGAAGTGTCTTGAACAATATCTAGTCTAATATTATTTACTGTCATCATGACAAAGATAAAATAAATCAGTGATTAGAGATGAGCTATTAACACTATTATGATTAGAAATGTGTTGAAGAAATCTGCTCTACGTCAAACAGAAAACGGGGAAAAAAAAATAAACAGGGGGGCAAATAATTTTGACTTCAACTGTACACACTCGCATAACACACATACATATAACACACACACATAACATAAACACACACACACATAATATGTACACACAATGTACAAACACACAAACATACACATAATACACACACATAACACACACTCTAGTGAGCCTCTAAATCTCCTCTCCCTCTTGTGTTTCAGGGATAACTCCAGCTTCCGGAACACGAAGATCACTTTGTGAAATCCAGGAATGATTTTCATATGGACACTTTCCTTTATACACCCTCAGAAACATCAACCTGTGTGTCACACTGACGGAATGAACCAGAGCAAACGTGTGTGTGTTTGCGTGCGTGCGCGTGTGTGTTTCTGTCTGTCTATGTGTGTGTCTGTTTTCTGCATCATTCCATCTTGTCTATTTTATTCCTTACATCAGTGTGTGTGTGTGTGTGTGTGTGTGTGTGTGTCTGAAATGAAAGCACGATTAAAGACATTCTCTGTGGAAATGCACATTTCAGTGATTCTCTGTCATTTGGAGCCGGTCGACGGTCTAGTTGAAGTCTAGTTTTAAATAAATAAAGTCTCACTTGAGATGTTGAAGAAAATCAGCTTTTCCTCAGTTTTCCTGACCTGTTTATCAGAACAAATACTAAATCTTTCCTTGGA